TGAATTGAATTGAATAACATCAAATTCTTGTTCAGATAATAGAAGCTAGGAGTTGAGGGAAAGGGTTGATCCATCTCCGATGGATATGATGATTTTTATCTACTGAACAAAAACAAAAGTATTATGATAATAAGTAGTAGCCCTGTTTTTAGGAGTGACCTCGAGGTCTGGGGATTCTGAGACCCAGACATGAGCTCACTATTTTTGCTTGTAACTAAGTTAGTTTGCGCGATATGGCCGATAGCCTTAAATAGTACAACTTTGCTGATTCGATGTTAATGGACCACACATTGAACTGGCTTTGGTAGAGACGATTAAAAGCATGTGAAGCTGTGTCTAGACGCTAGCCAGTCGTTTTAGGACCTAGCTTTATTTTCCGTTGGTATGTACTTCCGGGCGAATGTTACAAATCGTGGTAGAATGTACTTCCGGGCGATCGTTGTAATAGAGGTCTAGTTTTTGATTTTGCTTCCAGTTGAATATGGCGAGTGATTCAAAGCCGTCTTGGGAGTATCCATGGGTGATTATAACATAAATTATCTGGATAGCAAAGAAAAAGAAAATTGAGATTCTATAATTATTCCATATGGATTGAAGGTTTTTTGTCCAAACGGTGAGACCAGAATTAGTTCCTCAACTAAAACTCATATCGACTACATTATCAGTGACTATGAAACAAACGGCATTGAATTTTGTTTTGATACACCTTATAAAACCGACCATTTTGCTTCATTTATTTTGACGGACATAAAATGCGGCAAAAGTTTACCGAGGATAATTTCGACTTCCAATAAGAAAAATTATCATAAAAAGGAATTTTGCAAGACACTCTCCGCTCTTCCTTGATATCTCTTATATCAATGTACAGACGCACAAAACATGTTCTCGACGATGATTTATTTAATTTCTAGTGCTCTTCAGCACATGCTCCTATCGAAAAAAATTTGTTCGTAATTTTAAACCAAAAAATGTGTTGAAAACGGAATGGTTCGATTCAGAATGTCAGCAATTGTTGATTAAGAAACAGAATTCACTCAGATCATATCGCAGTCAAAGCACGAGCGATAATTGGTCAAAGTACCAGTTTTTACGTAATCAAATGAGCCAATTGATTAGAAGTAAACAACTCGATCACTCAAAAAATTGTTTTTCACTTCTCAGCACTATCCAACAAAAATGGAAATATATTAACCAAGTAAGAGGTACATGTTCTGGCAACAATCGAATTACAGTTCTACGAAATTCCTTCAGTGAAATGAAAACCCAAGACAAAAAAATTGCTAATCATTTAAATTATATTTTTTCAAACTTAGGCGAAATTTTCGGCGCTAAAAAGCCTCCGAATTACAACAAATCTGCCTCTGAATCTGCACCTTTCCATTTTCAACACATTACAGTGAAGCAATGCTTTGATATAGTTCGAAAAATCAATGTTAGAAAACCTCTCGGACCTTGTACCGTACCTGCTTGGGCAATCATTGACGGTCAATCAGTTATAGTTCCACATTTTACTTTTGTCATAAATAGTTGGTTAGATGAGAACATTTTCCCGATCGAACTAAAAAAAGCACACGTAACCCCTTTGTTTAAAAAAGATGACCCAATGGATGCAAAAAATTTACGGCCAATATCCATAACTTGTGCTTTTTCTAAAATTTTTGAAAAAAATTTTACATGCCCAAATAACAGAACATCTTGACAAATTTCAAATAATGACACCATTTCAATTCGGATTTCGCAAAACATTTCAACACAATATGCTCTTGTTTATGTGACAGAAAGTATTCGAAATCAAATAGATTCAAAAAAAATCGTACATGCAGCTTTATTAGATCTGTCCAAGGCTTTTGATTCTATTTCGCATGAAGTTTTAATTGAAAAAATGCTTTCTCTCGGTTTTTCAAAGGGAGCAAATGCTTTAATTGCTAGCTTCCTAAACAAACGTATTCAAAGAGTAAACGTCAATGGAATCTTTTCTAACTGGATTGAAATCAAACGAGGTGTCCCACAAGGAACGGTACTTGGTCCGTTATTGTTCAATTTATATGTTAATGACATACAAGAGCGATGATATGATGGTTGTACTTTAGTTCAATATGCTGACGACTGTATGGTTTTTTCCTCTTCTATAATTTCTGAGGATGCTTTGAATCGATTGCAAAAATCACTCAATAATCTAACGGAATTTTTTGCAGAGAACCAATTGAATCTGAATGCATCTAAGTCGGAATTTATAACATTTTGTCAAAAAAATGATAGCAAAAATGTAGATACTGATACAATAGTAATTAATGGGCATTATGTAGCCAAAAAATTAGAATGCAAATATTTAGGCCTTATTCTTGATTCAAGTTTATCTTTTCATGCTCAAATTAAAACAATTCTCCAAAAAATGGCACAAGGAATTAAAACTATAGATAAAATTGGACAACAACTGCCGACATTATCATTAGTTGCCTTGCTTCATTGTCTTGTTTTATCACATTTAGATTATTCAGCAATATTTTTACAACAAATTAATGCTATTTTGATGCTATCTCTAGAGAAACAGTTGAAGTGGGCGTTAAAAAGAACATATTTCAGATCGAAACTTAAATCTTCTTCCCTTCTTCACATTAGCAAATCGTTCATTGGAATCGAGAAAAGAATTGAGTTAAAGTGTATAACATACTTATACCAATATCTTACAAACAAAAAGAAGGCTTTTCAAAATACATTGAGACTACCGACTGCCAATTATAGGCTCAATAAAAGAACGAAACAAATTATTTTTTGACAAACATTGTTCAACCGCTTCTCTACAAAAATCATTTTTTCATTTGACTTCTAAAAAATGGAACTCACTGCGCATAGTTTTGCGCAATTTAGAAAAATCGAGAACTTGATTCAAGAAAAAATTGAAAGAATTTTACGTGAGTGAATTGAGAAACAATCCAATATGTACAAATACAAATATGTGGCTTGATTTCCGTTTTTGCTAGTTCTCTATGTTTTAATTTAGTTTAATTTTCCAGACGTTGTTTGAAAGAGAATCTGTATATACTCTGTATATACGCTGTATGTTTGTACTATCTATAAAATTGTTTGTAAAGTTTTGATACCAGCTCGTTCTTAATTCTTAAAACTGATGTTTTTTTAGTATCCGTAACTTCATATATTTTAATCAATCACTTTCTGAACTGTAACCGAACTTGTTTTAGTTTTGTTTTGTGTATTGCTTGTTTTCTGATGTTGTGCTTTTGTTTGATGTAACCAATGAATTTTAACCAATTTTATTATTTACACTTTGCTATACTGATGCCTCGGCTTTTTACTGTATAGTAATTCAGGTGTTCTTTCTTCTTCTTCTTCATTACTCCCAATTCATGGCAGGAGAGGGTACTGCTCTCTACTCCTTCCCCACTGAAGCCTCCCTTCTGGCTAATTCCTTCCGCTAACTGTCTTATCGTGCGTAATGGTCAAGATAAGAGGCTTCGTTTTTATATCTTTATCGTCCGACTGTCTCTCGCTAATTCGGTTGTTGTTCTGATTTTCGTCACTTTTTTGCTCAAAATGGCCGTTTTTTGTATTTCTTAGGAATATTCGTTCAACAATCGAAATTTTGAAAATTTAAAATTCCCGAATATTCTGAACCTCCTTTGCAGTAATTTTCAACCATTAAGGCCTCTACTTCTATTACTGTGTTGCGTCGGGAGGTTGCACTGTGTCAGTCTGGCAGAATGGCACACTAAGTATGGGGACGTTCTTATTTTCTAGAGTGGGGGTATTTTGGTAGTGGCCTTTAAGCTGCAACAAAGGTTTTAGTCTGATGTCGCAAGTGAACCGAATTGGCTCCGACCGTTTGAGGTAGAAAAACACAAGGGATAGTGTCCCTGACTCTTGAGCCAATGGTTATAGGGCCTATTTTTCTTTAACCTCATATGTGACTTGAGTAGGCGACTGTTACAAAAGTTTGATATTTTGGATGGTGTCTCACACAGTTCTTTCCGTCTAGTCCCGTTGTAGTTGTTGATGAATTCCATTTTTTTTCCTGTAGTCTTCTTTTTGCACATATAATTCGGAATACTGTATAATGTTGCTTTATTAGAATTGTCGATTTCCTCTAAAGTAAGTTTCTTCAAATTTTCATTCCTTTTCGATAATTTTGCACAAGTTTTTACAGGTGTAAACAGATATAAGACAGATATACACAGGGCTGAGAATCTAAAAATGTTTTGAAATTTATTTGATTTGAGCAATCAGATAGTGGTAGAATTGTGACATTCGATCAGAATGGCGTCCAAAATGCATGGCAGAATAGAAATTTTACGGGTAACTGTTGAGCGAGAAAATTGTTTGTTTGGAAGGATTAACGGTGTTAACTGTTGAATTGGACAAATTGGGAAGGATCAATTTGGATTTTACTACCCTTCCCGTCCCGCAACAACAAGGCAGCTCTTCGACCGGATTCAAGAATCCGGAGGGGTCTTGGGAAGAGACTTGAAACTCACTTTTAACAACTGATAGCTTCCTGGTATGCCCTGAATTGAATTGAATAACATCAAATTCTTGTTCAGATAATAGAAGCTAGGAGTTGAGGGAAAGGGTTGATCCATCTCCGATGGATATGATGATTTTTATCTACTGAACAAAAACAAAAGTATTATGATAATAAGTAGTAGCCCTGTTTTTAGGAGTGACCTCGAGGTCTGGGGATTCTGAGACCCAGACATGAGCTCACTATTTTTGCTTGTAACTAAGTTAGTTTGCGCGATATGGCCGATAGCCTTAAATAGTACAACTTTGCTGATTCGATGTTAATGGACCACACATTGAACTGGCTTTGGTAGAGACGATTAAAAGCATGTGAAGCTGTGTCTAGACGCTAGCCAGTCGTTTTAGGACCTAGCTTTATTTTCCGTTGGTATGTACTTCCGGGCGAATGTTACAAATCGTGGTAGAATGTACTTCCGGGCGATCGTTGTAATAGAGGTCTAGTTTTTGATTTTGCTTCCAGTTGAATATGGCGAGTGATTCAAAGCCGTCTTGGGAGTATCCATGGGAGCCTGAAGAAATTCGACAGAATAATGCACCATGGAGTTTGGCGGGAGATAAAGCAATGTCTCTCTATTTAGATAAATCTTCTACGGATTTTACTACGAATGCGATCAAAACTCACGAAGGAATGGGCGAACTAAATACACGAAGCTCCTTACTAGCCACAAAGCTTGACAATGCGTTCAATGATTTTCAACTTCTATCAAATACACAGTTTCTTGAAAATAGAATAGAAGAAGAGCCATTGGAATTTATTGAAGCTCAACGCGAAAAGGAACTCAGAGAAGTTGAGGCTTCGAAGATTTTAACTAAAGAAGAAAAGGAAGAGCTTTTGAAAGAGACCTTCAAAAAATGTTTGCTTTCCTCGCTGCGTATTTATCAACAAACCCAAACTATAGGTACTTCCAGAAATGAGAATATTGTCAATGAGTTAGAAGATTTCGATGATCGGCCTACCCTACCACATATCATAGGGAGTGACGACTATAAATCAAGTTCAACTGGAGGTGTCGTTTTCAATCTTCCCCCCAAGAAGAAAAAACCAGTCACTCATAATACCTCAGAAGTTACTACAAATGGGTTTCACGAAGATCTGAGTCCTCAAGGTATGGAATGGCTTCCTTATGTGATCAATTTTTGATTTCATTGCAGAGTCGTTTGTTGAACGATGCTTGAGTTTTACATATTGACTTGTCATTTTTTTTGCTTCTATGCTTTCGATAATCAAGGTTATGCAACAGGGTCATAGGCTTTTTCCTTAAATAAATTTGTTCACAGAATGGTACATTTAGAAGGAAATAAGAAATGGTAAATTTAAAAATATGAGAATGTTTCTGCATGTTCCTCTTACATTGGTCTCGTGATAGCATCTTAGGTGGTAGATGAAAGATCTTGCTTTTTTCCCGAAACTGTTTCAGTGGATTTTCTACGCATTAGCTGTCGTCTCTAATTCTATTGTTTTTTTAAAATTAGTTTCCTGCTTTATGTTTGACCTTGATTTAACTTTATTAATGTTTTTTTTTGAAAACCTTAAATTAACTTCTTGGAACCTCTTTGTATTAAAAATTATTTCATCTTCTTAGTTTTTTTTCACATTGGAAGCTTTGTGTGATTTTTACTCGATAATTCTGAAGAAGGCTGCTGTTTGGTTTATATATTTTTTTTTCGTGGAGGTAATTAAAATCCTGAGTTGATAAGACAATTTTCTTGGTATAATTTTTCGATCAGTTTTTTTGTCAATCGATTTCTCTGATGGTTTTAGTACTTTCTAACCTATATTTACTGGAACTATAACCGTTTTAGGCATTGTCCTCGGGTTGAGGAAGCCTTAGTTGACACCAGATCAGAAATTGTTTTTTAAATTATATAAATAATATTTGCTAAATAATTTTTAGAATTATTTTTATTCAGAATTATTTTATTTTACATATAATAATGTATGTAAAATAATACATCGCCTCGGTGTGTACCTGTGGCTTAAGATATATTTTTTTGTTGTTTAGATGACGTGGACGACGAAAATCTGTTTCCTGACGCGTCAAACTTAGACCAGTCTCAACTCGAAGACAGCACTCCTCTGATGCAAAATGACACTCGAACTGGGACAGCTCCTACAGAGTTATTAACATCATTTGAGTCGAATCAGTCAGACGAAACTGTTGTTAGTGAGAAACCTGAACCCATTCAGCGATCTCTAAATGGAACTACTAATATTCTATACCCGAAGATAGAATCTGACTCTGAGAGCGAGGAAGAAGGCGATATATTCGAGGCCAAAAAGTCTAAAGCTGGAACTTCTAAAGATGATAAAGATATAAATAACTCTGGTCTCAAAGCAAATGGCACTGAGCCAACTGGCTCAGTTAAAAAGCCAGATGCGCAAATGAATGGCCTGGGGTTCGAAGCGCCTCCTCCTGTTAGTAATTTCGAGTCTAGTGACGAAGACAGTGATGAAATTTTGTTATTCCAACCAAAGCCACGAGAGATTAATTCGAACCGGAAGCCAACTCTGAAATTAGAAGATGATGACTTAGATTCCTCGCCTGTTAGGAAAGAACTGCTGAAACAGACATCTGTTGCGATCGAAGAGGAAAAAGAGCCACCTGTTACTCAAGCGCCAGAAAAGAAACCAGACTTCATGAGTATGTTTGCAGATTGGAGTGATGATGACGATGACTTCATATTTGGTGTGAACAAGCCACAAAAACAAAACATGTTTGCTGCTGATGGTAAAGCAGCATCAGCAAAGAAACCTCCTCAAAATAAACCGACAGCCGACGTGGAAACTGCTGAAATTACGAAAGGCTTCGATCAAGGAGATGACGCCCGAATAACCGATAACGATCAATCTTTTGACGACCCAGAAGACACTAATATTCGGAGCTCTTCGCCGATTGTGCAGCAAGCAGTACCGAGCAGTTTACCCGATAAAAACGAATCTAAATTGGACGATGAAGTTGTAGAAAGTGCAGCGAAAGCAAAACCAGCTATTGATTGCAGTGAAAGTAGTAGCGATGATGATGGTGGGTTCCCGAATGCCATGAAGAACAAATCAGCGGCTAGTAAGAATATGGCTAATATTTTTACTCAAAACTCTTTAGATAGTGATGATGGCGACGACATGTTCACGAGTTCTCTCCAGGTTCCAAAGCTGCAACAGAAGCCCGTCAGTGAGCCAGTATCACAAATTTCGAAAGAGGCCAGCAATGATAATTTGCCTCAGTCTGCTACAAAATCAAATATCGGATCAAAAGATTCAGTAGTTAAAGAAACGGTTTCGAAGAAACCAGAGCCCAAACCATCTCGAAGGTTTTCAACTGACAGTGACGAAGATCTATTTAAAACTTTTTCGAGCAGTAAATCAAAGCCAGTAATTGAGAAGAAAGAAACTGTGCAAACTCAGTATTCAGATGATGATGACCTGTTTGCTCCAAAACCTAAAAAAGAGACGACAACTCCACGTTCGAAAACAGGACCAGCTGTATCAGCCGAACTCAGCTCCAACGATCCACCAGTCGAAAAGTTTTCGGAACCCGATTCAATGTCCTTGCCTGTTTCGGATCCCCTAGGAACAGTTTTATCGAAAGATGAGAAAAGTTACCCCGTTTCTAGGGATGTCAGTCTCCCCGTTAACAAAGCACCAAGTGTTATATTGTCTGACGAGGATATTTTTGCCGAGAAACCATCGAAACTTGTCGAGGTGAAAGAAAAACAGCAGACGCCTGCTGAGCCTGAAAAAGAAGGTAAGGATGCGTCTCAAGATGAAGTGGATGAGACGAAGACCAAGCCCGCAAAAGGAAAAGTAGCACAGCTTGGAAATAAATTGAACCTAACTGCTAGTATGCTGCGAGCACCTGGTGCGCCAATGTCCAAGACATTTGGAGCAGCTACAAGTCCAATGGGCTCTTCAGCCGGTCCAAGTGTTGCTGCTGGTAGTTTTTCGGGCTCCGGATCTAGTGGACCTGCTGGAGCATCCACTGGTTTGAATGTGACAGAAATTGGAAAGGATAAGGCTAAACTTGGGCCTAGAAGGCGTCCACCTTCTAGACTTGGAAGAGCTAAGCCGACCACTGTCATTGGTATTGAAGTGTTTGACTACACCAATCTCAACACTGAAACAATAGAACCTGTGCGAGGAAAAAAGGACTTCACCTCAAAGTTGCCTTTTGAATTACCGGAGGAGCAACCGCAAATAAATGTAATTCCTGAAACGAAACCAGAAGTGGTGAGCATTGGAACCACGAATCGAATGAAGGCACCAGAAATTGACATTTTCAATGATTCAAACTTATCTGAACCGTCTAAACCAAATCCGAAGGAGAATGATGTGAAATTGGGATCTAAGGACATAGATATCATTGACATTTTTGACGAATCAATCCAGCTGTCAAACAATGGTCCGGACAGCAAAGCATCTAAAGTGGATTCAGTTATTGGCAAAGGAGAAAGCGCTACTAAAAAGAAGAAAGCACAATCTAAAACCAAGACAAAGAAATCAGCAACAGCTAAGCTGGAGAAACAAAAGAAGAATGATGATATTTTTGATACCCCTGATGATATTTTTGATGACTAGTTAGTAATCATCGATTGATTAGAAAAATAGCTATATGCGATCACAATAATTATTTAAACGTACTGTAATCTGTGATTATGTTGTACTTGACAAAGCAGATATCTCGACTAGAACTTGCAGGAGCTTTTTAGTAGCCCGATATTTTGAATTCTTAGCGGTCTTTGCGCTTTGGGATTCCGAACTGCTGAACGGCAATTGTAATTATGCAAATGACTTCGGTCGAAATATTTTATCATGGTGAGATAAAAAATGATTCATGTTATAATGGTGCTATTCATCTATCAACTGTTATTTGTTCATTATCGATTTTTTACGAGTTCCGAAATGTTCTATATTCTATTCAAATTAGATTAATAAAGTTTTTAACGTCATGTTTCCCAACAACGTTCAAAGAATAACCTTCTCTTCATTAATTGAATGTACTGGGTTTTAAATATTGCTTTTTGCAGATAGAACTGTTATAGATGTTCAATAAACCGATTGGACAGGCAACTTCCTTCTCCTTAGGTGGTGGAGGAGGACTGTTCGGAGGGGGATCTCAAATCCAGCAAACTCCCGCAACTGGAGGAGGTCTCTTCGGATCGCAGCCTCAAACTCAAAACACCGGATTCCTTTTTGGACAGCCTCAACAGCAGCAACAACAACAGCAACAGACCACGACTTTCGGTGGCTTTGGAGGCGGCCTTTTGGGAGCAAGTCAACCTCAGCAACAACAGAATGCCTTCTCGTTTGGAGGTACAGGCTCTACTAACCTATTTAATAGACCAAACACTACATTCGGAGTCGGTCAACCGCAGGCCACCACAAGCACCGGAGGTCTTTTCGGTCAGAATACCACCTTCAATTCTGCCACAGCCCCAGTGGGAACCACAATTAAGTTTGCTCCTCTATCTGGACAAGATACGATGATGAAGAATGGAATAAGCACGAGTGTCTCAACTAAACATTTGTGTATAACTGCTATGAAAGAGTATGATTCGAAGTCATTGGAGGAGTTGCGGATGGAGGACTACGCTGCCAATCGAAAAACGGGAACACTCGCGATGTCGGGAGGAGGTCTTTTTGGATCATCAACTGTTGCTCAGCCTGCTGGCGGTGGGTTATTTGGCGGGGGTGCCGCAACTACTGGCCAGACTTCGACTGGATTTGGCGGAGGTCTTTTCGGCTCCACCACTCAACAGAAACCTGGAGGTCTGTTTGGTGGAACATCAACTGGCGGAGGAGGCTTGTTTGGAGGTCAACAGCAGACAGGATCTCTATTTGGAGGTCAATCCAAGCCAGCTACCGGTGGACTTTTTGGAGGACAGACGCAAACTTCAACAGCTGGGGGTTTATTTGGAAGCACGGGTACCTTTGGCCAGCAACAACAAACAACCGGAGGCCTCTTTGGATCAAATTTTGGAGCACAGAACAAGGGTTTGACCCTTAACACAACTACCACCGCTTCTATGTTCAATTTTGGAGGGTCCACTACAACTTCACAAGCTGGAGGGCTTTTCGGTGCAACGCAAAACAAGCCATTATTCGGCGGAACTACTGGTGGATTTGGCACAGCTGGAACTTCAACTGGCGGCGGTTTGTTTGGAGGTGGTCAGACCAGTACTGGGGGCGGGCTTTTCGGGAATAAGCCTCTTGGATTTGGAACAACTACGAGTACGGCTGGAGGCGGTCTTTTTGGAGCCCAGCCTCAACCGAATGCCTTGGGACAAACTGGGTCACTTTTTGGAGGTGGACTAGGAGCATCTACCCAGCAGCCGACTCTAGGCGGAGGACTATTCGGGGCCCCATATACGGGGACAGGGTTAAATTTCAACAATCAAGTGGCTGCTCAACCAGTGCAGCTGCTGACTGATCAAGCAACAGCAAATGCTCAGCATCAAATGTTACAGCAACAGATTCTAGGCCTAGCGATGAGTCCTTACGGGGACTCGCCTCTATTTCGAAACTCTCTAATAGACAGCAAATCTAAGAAAGATGAAATCACAAAGCCGATCAACCCGTCGTCTCAGAAACCTTATCTCTCGCCTGCGCAGCATAAAATCGAATCGAAGCCAACTCTGAAAGTGAAAACAAACTCGTCTTTGAAACACGACAAGTTATTTGATGGGCTAGATGAAGAGGATTCGAAATCTCCCCGACAAAGTTTTGTCCCCCGAAAGAACCCAAAAAAGTTGGTAATTAATGAAAAACAGGACATGTCATTTGCAAATTTACCACTTTCAGTCTCTCTAAACATGTCACAGGGAAGTTTGAATTCAAGTGACTTGGTGAAGGGAAACCCGCAAGCTTTAGCATTATCGTTCCTGCTGTCTTCAGACAAAAGTTCGCCATTACTCGGTCGAGAATCAGCAGGAGCTAAAATGCAAACTCCGAGTCGAGTCAACAGCGGTACTTCTATGAGCAAAGAGCGAGAAACTTCAAGTGAAAGTGCTGAAAAATCAACAAAGAAGAAACAAACCTCGTTTAACGACGAAATATCTCTAGAATATCCGATTACTGCGACTGAAAGTACGACAATTGAGTTGAGTGACGAGACCCCTAGAACGCAAAAATGGGCTACGAAAGTGCCGACTCTGGGCGGAGTTTTGAGTGACAAAAACACCCCACCCGCTGTCACGCCTATACGTCCGGTAGAATCATCTGTTCAACGTAGTTCATCGAATGCTGTGAAAACTGTTAACACTTCGACTGAAAGCGTGAACAGTCCTCTGACAGATATTAGAGAAGGTTTGAACCAATCGAGAAATTCGGAGAAGGAAAACTCCGGTAGTCTGAGACGCGCTCCTATTACCAGTCCCAAGCTTACCAGCGAGAGTAGCGAAATTATATCGAAGCCGAAAAGTGCAAAACTAGCTGTGAAACTTACACGCCCTGAGTACTTCACTGACCCTGAGAAGAGTGTTTTGGATGATATCTTGCAGAAAACAGGAAAATGCGTGGTCGAAAATTTCACAATTGGTAGAGTAGGATACGGAAGTGTCCATTTTCCAGGAAAAACAGATATTACTGCAATGGATCTGGACGAAATTGTTCATATCAGAAGAAAGGAAGTTACTGTTTACCCGGACGATGAACAAAAACCCCCTCTTGGGTATGGCCTGAACAAAAAAGCCGTCGTAACGTTGGATAAAGTTTGGCCTAATGACAAAAGCTCTCATTTGCCCATCACATCGCCTCAGAAGCTATCCTTGATGGGCTATCAAGATAAAATTGAAAGGTCAACTGCGAAACTGGAAGCGAAGTTCATAGAGTACAGACCCGAAACCGGATCGTGGGTATTTGAGGTCAAACATTTTTCCAAATACAGTTTGGCGGATGAAAGTGACGATGAAGATAGCGACACTGCGAGAAAAGGTGCGCCAGCTATTCAAGCAAGAAGTAAAACACTTGGCTCGGCATCTGCTCCGGATGAAACTTATGTAGTGGCTAATCCCTCTATCAAGAAAGTAGGTGGATTTACTGCAAAAACGAGAACGGGATCGAACAAAGATTCAATTGGAGTATCTTCTCGTGGTTTAGGTGGTGGGGACTCTTTGTCAAGTGAGTTTTACCCGACCTATGATGTAATTTCTGACACTGAGAGAACGGATAGGTTGAACAATAATTCAAAGTTCTCAGGTGAGTTCGGAATGGGGCACAGTTTCTCGCTCTCTCGTCAAGGACTCAACAGCGGTTCGATAAGCTCAATGATATCGCAAAGGCTCTCCAAGTTGGATCCAATGCAAGACGCTCTATTCGCAATTCCTGAAGATTATGGATCTCATGAGGACGAGGATCCGTGGTCTCGATCGAAATTGAAGCGCAAATCAAACTTGGGACAAAAAGAAAGAGCCGATTATTTGATGAAGAAATATCGATTAGAGAAATTTGAAAAGACGCGAAGTGAAAATCTCCAGGAAAATGTCCCGAATTTTGAAGGAATTGACCTGGATGCAATGGCTGAACTGGACTTGAAAGAAGCAAACCCTTTAGAAGGTGTTGGCAATAATGCCCAATTCAGGGTTTCTTGGAAAAACTCTGAACAAGCTATTTCGTGTCCGATTTCACACAGCTTCGCCCAGAAGATTTCGCTGTTTAAGAAAAAAGAGGCGTCCTTCCAAGTCATTGTGAGCAATGTTTTCACTCCTGAAAATAACTCATTCGACGCTGAGATGACTCAAAATGTGCTGAAAAAAGTGTTCGATTTCAGCGCAAGTGATATGAGCGAATACTTTCCATGCTTCAGCATAATGGAGACAACAGATTTTGTTGAAGACTTGGACGCAGTTGTCACTGAAAATGGATCGTTCAAACAAGCAGTGACTCTTTCAAAAGCTCTTTTCGGCCGAATTGATCGTGAGTTGCTGCAGCCGAATCCAACAGGCGACTCTTACGAAGTTCGGCAGTATAGGAGAAAAGCTTTTTCTGATTGGCTGACGACTGCTCTCGAAGAAGAGTTATGTAATGATTACGCAACCACTAAAAAATCCATGAGTCAAATAGATGTGTTTGAACAAATTTTGATGTTCTATTCATGTAATCAGAAAGAAAAAGCGCTCAGAGCTGCTCTGAATGCGAATTGTCCCCGCTTGGCACTAATATTGGCACAAGATAACACATCAGAATTTCGAAAAACGATAGCTCTACTCGAAACAGAGCTGAACAATTTGAATTTGCCCAAACATATGAATTCGAACTACGTGATGCTGCTGAAACTTCTGTCTGGAGATATTTTTTCAGGCAATATTGAAAATAGCGATGAATTGTGCACCGAATTTTTCCAGACGTTTTCCTGGAAAAGAGCGCTGGGAGCGTGTCTTTGGTTTTTGACCGATCAGAACTCGTCAATTGCCGAGGTTGTAAACTTGTATGAAACTTACTGCAATTCGGGAATTATGCAGCGACCTTTCGTCACGTTGGAAGAAACAGAAAACAATCCGCTGGACTATTTTGATGCTTCTTATTACATTCTACAGCTGTTCGTGGAGCCGACTTCAAAACCAGAAGACGTTCTGAACCCTTTGACTTTTGGGCACAATATCACCGACTATCTAGCGGCGTGGTCTTTACTAATGAGTTTGAACACTCTTGGGTTTATAAATATTGAAGTTAAGTCTAGAAATAGTGTTATTACTAGCTTTGCTTGGCAATTAGAACGTGAACAATTATGGCAATGGACAGTTTTTGTGCTCAGTTTTCTGAAAGCGGACAAAGCTCGAAAAAGTTCTATCCAGAATTTATTGGATCGAAATTGTTCCGCAAGTGAACAGTTTTCAAACCAAGAGCAGTTTCTGGTTGAACAACTTGGTTTCGATTTCTCAACAATTCGAAGAAGTAAAGCACTGAGGGCTAAGATGGAAGGTGATTATAACATGGAGCTCCATCATTTAGTTGAAGCTCAAGACTGGAATGAAGTTCATTCTATGTTGGTCTTCCAAGGATTAGCAGCTGATCTTTACTTCGATCAAAGCACTGACACTCTGATGAATATTTTGACAAACCTAGATGCGAATTCTTTTGCGATTCCGAATTGGCGCACTCAAGGTGGAATTTTGTTCGACTATTTTGTACTAAAAGAGTCGAGACAAAATTTGACCCACAGGCTGAACACCTCAAATGACGATGATGTGACGGATTTATTGACAAGCGTGCACGATTCGTATCTGTTAATAGCGAGAAAGTTGCCTGAATTCCCAGTTAAAACGGATCGTATGAAATTTTTACTGGCTGAGATTTCAGAAAGCGTGTTGGTTGGTGTCCGTGATTTGAGTAAATTTGACTGTTCTTCAATGGCCTTGGAAGACATAAAGAAAGTGCCGCTTTTCAATGATCAAATTGTAGCTCAGTTGAACTATTTGGGATCTGACACTGTCAAGGTCATGACTGAAGATGAAGACGAAGAAAGCATGAACGAAAACTTTGAAGATAATGAACAGATTGATGATCGCTCGTTCTCCAGAAGCAGTTTCAGCTAAAAATCTAAAACGTTTTGAATGTGATATAAAATAAAGTTCAATTAAACCAACTGAATCTACGATGCTACTGTTTATTTTGTCTTTTTTGAAGAATTTTAAAATTCTCATGAGTAGCTAATCCTATTGTTTTTCTGAGCAATGATATCTGATTCGCTTTGATATTCAAATGGCCTGTTAATTAGTTGAAACGCCGCTGCTAGTTTGTTGTGAGTTTTTGAGATATTTGATTAATTTTAATTTCATATCAAATTCATTTTACGGTTGCGAATGAAGAGTTGTTTCGTTAGCTGTTCTTCGTTAGGGGTTTTTCAACTGTACGCTGACTTTCATCAATGGGTTTTAAGTAAACATATATAATCAGAAACAGCTTGTCGATGCAGATGGAATTAATTGTTTCGACAAAAACTTACCGTTTTTCTGCATTGGATTTTATCAGAATTAAGATTTTTAACATATTTTTTGTTCCGACTTTCGAAGAAAATGGAATATTTATGCTCGGTGTGGTTTTTTTTAATTCAGTCAATTTTCGCCGTAATAGTTTTCAACAACATTTTTTATACCCCATTAAAGATATTGAATTCCTGAGTTCAAATTTAAAAAGATATTTTACCTTCGATTGTTTTTTGTAAAGTTCTGGGGGGTTTGAAAATTTCCAAATTGGCCATGTTCTGGACTAAATTATGCGCGCTTTGAAGAATTTATTCATATTGCTGAGAACTTAACGCGAATTATTTGCGTGGCGAATTATCCCGCCCAAGAAAATCGTTCCAAACTGAATTGAGGCTATTGCTAATTGGTCGTATCAATTTCGTACGACTCAAAGTTTTACACTTTGATATTGTCCAAAGTTTATAGGTTTTCAATATTTTCTTTTCCCAAAAACTATTCGATATGAAGTAAGGGACAGTCGGAACACTCAGGGCTTTGCCCTGATATACGAGCAGTCTTGTTTAGACCTAAACTTATTTTAACCCATGCAACTGCTGAAGAGAAGCGTTTCTCTGATAAAATCTTTTTGTTCTGAATATCTAACCGATGGCTTTATTTTTTCAGTTTGGCATTTGACCTGCAAACATGAAGTTCAATTTGGCCTACCCTTACACAGGACTGCAGAAGCAGATCGAGTTCAACGACGAGAAAAAACTGAAGGTGCTGAATGACCTCAGATTGAGTCAGCTGGTGGAGATGGACTTCCTCGGGGACGAGTGGAAGGGATACGTCGCCAAGATCATCTCGGGTTCCGACAAGGATGGATTCGCCATGAAGCAGGGAGTCCTAACTACCAACCGGGTGCGACTCCTCCTGAAGGCGGGAACCAAGTGCTTCCAGTCCTGGAAGCGAAAGGGAGAGCGAAGGAGAAGGTCAGTCCGAGGATGTATCATCGACGTGCACCACTTGAGCGTCCTGTGCATGAAGATTGTCAAGAAGGGAGACAACGAAATTGCAGGACTGACCGATTCCATCTTGCCCAGACCTATGGGACCCAAACGAGCCAGCAAGATCAGGAAGATGTTCAATTTGACTAAGAAGGATGACGTGCGACAGTATGTGATTCGCCAGCAGAAACCGAACCGACCCCCAAGGAAGGATGGAACTATTCGAAGTGTGGCTCCTAAGATCCAGAGACTGGTGACTCCCGAGCGACTGCAGCGAAAGAGGAAGCTGAGAGCCATCCGAAGGAAGAGGTACGAGAAGTCGAAGGCCAGCAAGCAGGACTACCTCAGACTTCTGGCCAAGATCAGACGAGAGAGATCCGAAGCCAGAAGGTCCTCCAGGTCCAGCCGAGTATCGCAGGCGTCTGCCAGCTAATCTGCTAATGGAATGGACTCACAGAAGCAAAAGTTGTTTTCAAGTTAATTGCGGCCCTGATTTAAAATTCGATTATGGTGCTGCGAGTGATTCAAATTTGTTGCTGTGAGTTAGTGTTGAAGTTCAATTGAACTTTTCCGCGTCAAAGCTTTTCAATTCAGTAAGAGCTGACTTTCAATTGTCGAGAGATAAGCTTTTGAAGTAAACTTGCTTCATTTTTTCCAAGGAATAGACAATAGTAAAATTGAAAAGTTTCAAGAGACATCTGATTCTTAGGTATTGAACGTTTTTTGGTGGGAAAATATTAAAAGTGCTGAAAATAGTAGCAAACGTGCCTGATAATACTCTATATAGAATTTTCACAAAAAAATCTGACCAATGAGAGTTTGAAAAAGTTACTGGTAACTCAATTGCGTGTTCGTCGTGGTTTCGTCTAAAAAATCTAGATTTTACGAACCATAATTTGTTTGTGGCGTCAAAAAACTGTACTTTATTAGCAAATTCTCACTAGTGACAAATTCTCACTAGTGACAAATTCTCACTTTAGTCCATAATTGCATATACGTTGGGGTTTTCAAAGGTGCCGTTGGCGCGTACATTTAGTAAAAGATCCTATGCAGAATATATTTTGCAAAAGCTTTATTTAGACAAGGGAGTTGTGTAGCTGATATTTTTTGTCATGAAGTTTTTTTTTGGAATGTATATTTTTCTCTTTCATTTTTAGTTCGAGCTAATTTGACCTAATTGTTATTGCCTTTGCGATAAGCAATGGTATTGCAATCGTGTACTAGATTTTCCCTTAAATAACTTTGTTCACAGGACTCTTTTGATCTGGACTCATTTTCTTTTTTTTTTTCAGTTTTTTTTTGTGTATGTGTGTGATTTTTGAGGGTGAGGGGTTTCAATAATTTTTAATTAATCGTAACTTTTTTTTATTTTTTATTATTTTCCTTTTTTCGGCTTTAGCTTTTAGGCTCATATTATATCTTTTCATTAAACTTAAATTTTTTGAATTTTTTTGGCTTTTTATTCTTTTTTTTTAAATTTTTAAATCTGCTTAATAGGCTTCGGCCTATATTACATTGGCTTAGTGGCCTATTGCGTTGTTCGACGAGCTGTTTGTTTTTTGAGGGTAAAGGGACTTAAGGGCTTTTTGTCCTAATTTTTTTTTTTTTTGATTTTTTTCGGCTTAATAAGTTTCCGACAATCGGCTTAGTGCCGGTCTCATATAGTTTCATTTGGTGCGAATAGAGTTTGTGTGTTTGTTTGAGGATATTTAGTCTCCTTTTCTTACAAAGGAGACTAAATATTTTTTTCGAATTTTTTTTCGGCTTCAAGGATTTCTTTCTGGCTATTTTTGGCATTGATAACGCCTAATAATTTTTTTCGATGCTTAGTTTCCTGGCACGTTTTAGTTTCAAAACTAGCATAATTCATTGTGATAGATCTGATCTAGCTTCGCTTCTGTTTCTGAAATTGTGTTTTTGCTTGGCTTCGTTGATCTGATTTGCATTTATGTGTCTCTAGAAGGTTGCGATGAGGATGGTTAAGATCAACATTATGACAAACTAAAGGTTTTCAATATTAGAAAAGAGTTGTTCTTTGCTAGTTTCTTTTGACTTCGAAGATCTTGCCTCTAGTATTTTGTCTTAGTTATACTTGTGAGAGAAACTGTCTTGAATCGGGAACTATTCTTTTTCCTATAAGGAACTTTTAAAACTAAATTTACTGGCATATTCTGAGCATGTTTGCATTTTGAATACCTTGTCTATTTTAGTTTTTTTTTACTGTTGTTGGTAACTTTACCGACACCTTTGTTGTATAATTTACGTTTTTTGGCCTAGTAGGTTTATTAGGCTTCAGCGGTTAGGGCGTATATTTTGTCTTCTTATTAGCCTCATTTTGCGTCCTTCGAAAGAGGAAAGTAGGCGTTTACGCATGCATGTGTGTGATTCAGGGTAGCTTAAAACATTAGTTTTGTTCCAAAACCTTTGTAATTTGTTTTTTATTGGGTCATCGAGCGTCTACTCGATTATTTTCGTGTTAGTTACCGTTTCGCCTCTGTATGTTATTTTTTTCATTTGCAAAGAGTTTTCCTGCCTGTGTTGCAATTATGTATCTATAGATTTATGGCAAATTTTTTCTAGATGTGAAATGTCTGACTTGGGCGTTGATCCCGACGTTGATAAAGGATGCAACAGCGTCCTGAAGAAAGCAGAACCACTGAAAGATGGCAGTGGCTGGATCAATCGAACAAATGGCTCATACCTCAGAAAGGGATCTGTGCTACTGCACGCGTACCCTAGAACACCCTTCACTGGTTATCTACCGACTAAGGGTTATTTCGCCAAACCAGATGGGGAAGATTGTCTGAACAAATTGGCCTACCCGGCATCCATTGCTTTTTGCGGCTCATTAACGACCCAAGTCCTAGTAGGGTTCCAAGACGTGCCTGCGCATATCCGAAAGACAAATCTCTGGATGAACTACAGGATTCCGTTCGTTATGTATGCCACAGTTTTCGGAGCAGGAGTGGGAGCTACGACTTGCATGCTCTCCAACATACCGCCCTTCAAAAAGCACCCCAACGGAGCTTATTTTACATCCGGCTTCAGCGCTGGAATGCTCTGGGGTCTATTGGTAGCAAAACGACGACCAAATATTGGATCAGGGTTTGTAAATGGATTACTTATTGGACTCTCCTGGGTCGCGATCAAGGAAGCCTGGCGTCTAGGATTACCCGGACTGTTTCCCCTGGACCCGATGGGAGATTTGGACTTTCAAGTGAATCATATTCCGAGGCCAGCCTAAACTAATAAACTTGCAAATGTGAACTTTAACTAGACTGGAATTAATTGAGTAGAATCAACTGACAAATATCCACCATATTTTAGTAACTTCAAATAAATCTAATGAAGAATTGTTTTACATGATTAGTTAACAAAAACCGACGACCAAAAACAATGTCAAGCTGTTGATCAAGAACGAAAAAATTTCCTGAATAGATGAGAACATTCAAAATTTTCAGAAAAGAGGGCTCATCCAAAAATTATTCTTCAGGTCTCCCGTTTTCAAAAGTAGATTTTCTAATCAGATTTTCTAATCAAAAAAATTTTGACAGACAGTCAACACTTAGAAGCTTCTTCTGACTGCGCCGATAGAAAATTAGCTTCAACCAATTTAAGCAAAAATTATCAATACTCACGATAAACCTTTTTTTCCGGTACACACGCATCGGTCATATTGACAGCACATTGTACTTTAAGCTAACTAACAAAAAATGGGATGAACGTCAAAAAGTCGAAAAAATTTGGTATAAAAAGTCATATTTTTGCAATAAACTATTTCCTCGTGTTCGTCCTCATTTGTCTTGAAACCCGCAGAGAAAGACAATTGCCAGTATAAAATTAGCATGAAAACAAAAGTAACGAGGTGGAGGTAAAGAAAATTTTTGAGCTAAAAAAATTTATAACTGAAATTCAAGGTTTTAAGTCACCGCGAAGCACACACGCGCGAAAATACCTAAATTCTACATCGAAAAAATTGTTTTTTTTTTCTATACACAATTTGCATTGAAGTTGCTCTTAATGTTTTAATTTACTTCGGCTGTTTGTAATTTCTTGACGTCGTCTTTGTTTTCGCTGAAAACTTTTTTCCTAAAAAATGTCGGCCGATAGTTTGTCTGCTTGTTTTGTCGGTAAAATTGATTATTTGTGCGCATTTTTTTTGTAGTTGCTTTCAGTTTTTTGAATTAGTCCTGCAATTTTTAATTTTTCTAGTCTTTATTTATTATATTTTGCTGTTTTTTTCGCTGAAAGGCTATATTCGGCTTAAATGTCTTTGGTGCATGTTTTATGGGCTTAGTAACCTAATTTGGGGTAATTTAAAAGGAAGCGTACGTTTTCTGCTGCATTCCGAGTTGCACCTAAGTGCTGAAATTCTTAGAAAAGAATTTATTGTTCTTTTTTTTCCCGAAAGAAAAAGGTTTTCGGTTCTACGGGAAACTATTCAAGTTTCGTCAACTCAGTTGCCGTTTTTAATTATTTGTCGAATTTTCTTTAATTGACGTCGATTATGTTGCTGGACGTGTTTTCTGCCTAGCTTCCCGCTTTAAGATAACTAAAACGCGATCTATAGCGCAATCTTAAAGCACGTCCCAAAAATTAATGCGGCGTGCTTCAAGATTGAACTATAAATTGCTTTAAAATTGCTTTTCCTTGATGCTATAAAATTGAACTATTCTGCAGCGTACTTTAGAATGACTAAAAATTGATGGGGTGTGGGGAGTATTGCTGCAGTTTTTGTCCCTTTTCGAAAACTTTTTGAAAACCGTGGCGCTGGGCACGCTCCTCGCGGATTGGCTTTGACCAGCCAAAAGTAGTCCGGAATTTTCTTTAACAGTTGGTGGCTCAGGATTGGCAATCTGATTACTCATTTCCAAATTTGGGGTTCAAATTTTCCAAAACAAATCAGCAATTAACCTTAGGAGCTAACAAGATCAAATTTTAAGGACTAAGTTGAAAACATCTGTAGTTTTTAGAAAAAAGTTTTTAGCCCGTATCAGTAGCGGATTTAGGGGGGAGGCCCCCTCCCTCACGGTTTTGACCCCCTTGCCGACCCAAAGGGTCTCCCTTTGCACTAATTTGAGACAACCATTTTGTCTACCGGACCCTAAAATTTTATTAAAGGCGTCTTTGGCGCCAGTTTTTACTAACTTTGAGGGGGAAGCGCGCGCCAAAACAACATAGGTCAAAATTTCAAAAAAGCCTAAAAACGCTTATTTTGGCCTGTTTTTTCAAAATTTTCAAACAAGGCTTAGAATCTTATTTAGAAATTTTTTCCAGATAAAGTTGATGTCATCCTCAGAAACAACCTCATGAAATCATTAATTGCGCGGTAAAATTGATTTTTATATCTCATAGGAAAGCAATGGATGCACCTTTTTTCCTTTTAGTGATATTGATACGTTCACACATGTTGAAACATGTTGAGAAAAGGTGGAGCGAGTTGTCAAGTGATGTCACGTGCAGAAGATAAATCACTTCATTTGCCCAAAATTAAGTGCGGCGAGATGAAAAGAAATCGGATGTGAAATCAAATTTGCCTTAAATTTCGTTGATTGATCGTCGACGCAAACAGAATGAAACAGAAAATCGTTTTTTGCATTTTAACAGAATTTTTTAGCGATTGGAAGTAGCGCACTGGAACCGAAAATTTGCTCGTTTAATGAGATATCGATAGCAAACATAGGAGATTTAAATGACCTTTCTAAAAACAACTGATAGTTAATTATTATAATTATCATTATTTATTATATTAATTAAACATTACTTGAACATAAGTAGAGTTAAATTAGAAATCCTCGTTTCGCTTATTTTTTCCTTCGATGATTGCGTGAAGTGATCTCTTCTTGTAATAGTATCAAATGTTAAGGACACTTCCTCCCAGAGGCACTGTGGTTGAGAGTTGTCCTTTGAGGGCCAGCATGAAGTCATTGTCGGCACTGCTGTAGAAACAGAACAACCAAATTTGAACAAGAGAAAACGGTCGCTGTGCAAGTGGCACAGAAAGTTCCGACTATAGTCATCACTTCAGAAAAAAAAAACTTTTTTTTGTTTGCCTCCAGGGGGAGGAAAAGGAATGGATTTGGTGGGACCCATTTTTTTTGTTAAACATGAGTTGTTAGCTTTTTCTCATTATAGCCACCAAAAAATTGGAGCCGCCATTCATAATACAAGCTTTAGTTTTCTTGTAAATTTCTTCCTGGGGTGAAGCTATTATGATAAAGAGTCGAATCATTTGTAAGACAGAGCCAAACAATTACATTAAATTTGACATTCATTTGTTTGTTTGATTTGATGAAAATCTATGTTTCAAACTTCAAACCTGTCCAAATCTTCGTCTTCGTCTGGCATTTTGCACAGTTTGCTCACAATGGCAGCCCCAAACGCATCCCCACTCATGGTGAGCACAGTGCGACACCTGTCTAGCAGCCAATCAAACGTGAACAGCCACCCTATGGCCTCAAGGGGCAGACCAACTGACTTGAACACTATCACCATCGTCACGAGACCTGATAGGAGAGACAAGAAAGTATGATTTGAGCAATGCTCCATTACATTCCCGGGCTCTGTTCCACATGTTATTCTCGTGATGTTATTTTATGAAGTATGAAGATAAAAATTTGTTCAGATAAGTTGGTTTTTTGACTATGCTAAGTTCTGTGGCAATATCACAACGCTAAGTTGGAATTTCAAAATGGAAGTTCTGGTGTGGGGAGGGGGGGGGGGGGTTAAGTAGAAACAAATTAATATGCGCTGTATCGCATCATCAAGCAATCATTTAATTTGAATTGACTTATTTCGGGCAAAGGAACCAACATTCGAACTGGTCAACGTTGTACATAGAACCGCTGTAGTGTCACTGGTTAAAAATTAAATCCAAATATTGTTACTTTTCTAGGCTGCATTCTGTTGTTTCAAACCTCAAGCAATAAGCCCCGATCTTAGTAGACCTCGAACCGTCGACCTATTGTTTGAGAGAAGGAGCTCAAAGACTCTAAGACTCTTAAATCCCCCACCTTTGCCAGAAATTTCTAGATCGGCGCCTGATGATGAGTAAGTGCCCACCTGTGTTGGTGACATTTGCAGCGCCTATAGAAGCAGCGAGTACGGTGAGCATGATGTTGATGATCATGGGTGGGTTGAGGACCATGCCAGTGTCCTCGTGCATCTGGGCCACGAACATAGTGGCCACTGCCTCATACACGGGGATCCCGTCACAGTTGATGGCCGCCCCCACCGGCAACATGAACTTCACCACCTGCGGGATATTTTTGAGTTCAATTTACAATTACCAGTTACGAAAAAAAACAGATTAGGTAATATCCACTGGAGGATTGCTGGGAGAGTTGCATCGCCAATCAAAGCTTATACGCTGATTGTTAAAATTTGTTTTCGGTTTGAGATAATTTACTGAACACTATTAACATATTCTAAAGTATTCTCAATTGTATGGTTTATACACTGATTTCAGGCATAAATCTTCACATCGGATATAGTAGCGTACCTGTTTGTTGACCTTATTGTTTTCTATTGCACAAGTCATGTTCGCGGGCAGAGCAGCCGCAGTTGATGAAGTCCCAAAGGAAATCATATTGGCCCTCGCTTGTTTGAAGAAAAACTTAATCGGGTTCCGTCTACATATAATTGAATAGAGTATAATGTACACCTGGAACTGCAAAGCAAGTCCGATTAAAACTGTAATGGTATAAGATCCCATCATAGTGGCCGTTCGGGTCAAATCTTGAACTTCGGATATCGTCGATGCGACTAAACTGCAAACGCCGAAAGGAACAAACCACATGAACAAGTATAGAATATTCATAATTAGTTCGTTCAGGCCGAATATTATTTTGATCAAAATTCGTCCGTTTTCGGGCATCTTTCGCAGTGCCAGAGCTATGAGGCCGGCGTAGAAAATTAACCCGAGGATGTTGGCGCCCTGGATTCGTCTGATTCCTCGGTTCTCGACTATCTCGAATCCCGTTACATTTGTTTTCGGGTCTGTGAAAGTGTGGTTGTCGCGTGAGATTTGTGTTTTGTCCTGCCACATTGTAGCTCCTATGATGTTGTTGGGAATCAAATTTCTTAGAACATCCAGAAGGACGTCGACGGCGCCCCCGCTGTCAATAATGTCGTTGTCGAAACCTTCAAAGCCGAAAGACGGGGGTTTCGCTAGAGGGTCTCCTGAAATAAGAATAAAATCATGTCATTTTCTCACAAAGGAAGCCGCTAATATACAATAAACCATTTTCTCCTCTAATGAAAAAATACAGGCCTTGGTTATTTTTGTTACATGCCTTCGTTAGAAAGAGACATTGTTTCAATCCGAAGCAAAAAACTCTAAATTTAGCTCTGCTTCATTAGTGAAAAAGATTACACGAATTTAAATTCTAAATAGGAGACGTGAAGTCTGCTTGAAGGCCTTTTCTAAACAAGTCAACTACGGTCGTTTTAGGAAAATGAACTTCTTTATAAACATTTTTTTTTGAAAGACTGAAAAAATCAGTCATTTTTTATTTTAATTGGCAATTTTCCCTCTAACAAGTATTTAAATACTTTATCAACTGCATTTAAAATTTTCCTACGGTGAACATATTCAAATCCATTTTCAAAGAGTTTGTTTGGTGCTGCTTAATTTCACTTTTCAAGTTTTTGAATAGAATGAAGTACACACACACATTTTCTTACCTAGAAAAACTTTCATTTCCAATTAGACAATCTACTTGCAAGGGTGTTAGAAAAAAATTAAATATTTTTCAAAATATCATCAGGAATGGTCAGTTTTTCCCTTCACAACTGACGAAGTGAAATTATTCAAAAGCCTGGACAAAATTTTGTAAATCGGGAAAAAAGCAGTTTCTTAATACATTTTGCTGAAATTGTTCTGTTTTTTTTTTTAGCAAGGGGCGAACAAATTAGGTTAAGGCTGAAAAATACTGAAGTAATAATATCTGATTTATTTTAAGAGAATGTGTTAGTATTGGTTTATACATTTAGTTTTAATCTTAGTGTTTGTCTCGTTTAATCTGGAAAATCGATTGCTTTGGACCAGTTTTTTCGAAAAGGAGACATATTTTTGAAAGCAGAAAAGATTTTAACTTTATGACATCCTTTGGCTACCAAAAAACACCTTGTAGACGTAAAAGGATGTCATAACGTTAAAATCTTTTCTGCTTTCAAAAATATGTCTCACTTTCGAAAAAATTGGTCCAATAAACATTTTTTTGAAATAGTCAAAATCGAGAGAAAAACACTGTTTCTTCCAATGCTGAGATAAGTATGGTTCTTTTCATTTCTGGCTACCAATAAACACCTTGTAGACGTAAGAAATGAAAAGAAACATACTTATTTCAGGATTGGAAGAAACAGTGTTTTTCTCTCGATTTTGACTATTTCAAAAAAATGTTTAATGGGCCAAGTGTGGTATCATAAAAGAAGTCCCATGCGGTCGTAATTCCGGTTCCAAAAAGAATTTCGAAACATTCTCAGTTTCGGGAAAAAAATGGTTTGAGAGTTTTTTTTTGTTTTTATGACTTATAGATGTTTATAGCTACTTTAAACTTTAAATTAGCAGTTTCAGACGTTTTTTATATATTATGAAAGATATTGATATCCAGGGCTCAAAATTACCCGGATTGACCAAAACTTCTAATCATAAAACTTCTATGAGAACTTTCTTATCATACAATTCCCTTAATTTCATACGTTAAGAAAAATATTTAAAATCACTATGAGATAAAATTTATATGGATAAACATTGAATGACATGCTTTTTTTTAAACATCAAAAATAATTATTTTTCGAGTTTGTTGAAAATTTTTGTGTTTTGTCAGAAAATCGAATAGTCAAAGATTTTCTGACCTGTGAAAACCCACTGGTTCAGTGGAAAAAATCTCGCAGGTAGTCGGTATTTGTATATTGTTTTCTTGAGATAATGATTCATTGTTCATTTAAAATTATGACTAAAGAACGTAAGTTTTTTGTGTATGGCTAGAAAATTTTTCTCAAAAAAGTTGTCTAGCCAAAAGTCGTGGCCAGGTTTTTTTGACAGATCAAAGGATAGCTAACCATATACAGGCCTAAAGTTTTCCTTTTTGGTTCACACAAAAATCAGAGTTAATTTTATATCATTTGTGGAAGATTTTCAGCCTGGACAACATTATAGACAAAAAAATCCCAAATTTTTGCGTGCAATGTTTTTTGAGCATAAAAGTGATGTTGCGACTAAAATTAGAAAAAAATAACCGCAAACTTCAAGTTTTTAATCTGGCATTTGTTTTGCAGCAAGGTAAAACTTGCGTATTGTACAATTTTCATAAATGGAATTTGTATGTATGCTTTTTTCACCACTTTTTTTGGAATTTTATGATAAGCATTTAATTTTTATGGAATTGTATGACCAGAATTTTTTGTGCATGGAGGCCTACCCGGGTATTAAAAAATTTCACCTGTGGTCTATTTTTGCACCCAGCATCTTATAGGGGTTTCAATTTGGGACTATCTTGACGATGATAATTCAAATTGGGATAACAACGCCGGTGATATTCGCCGTCTTATTAGGGCGTAAGCTGCAAATTGAATCTTTCCAAGTTGAACTGGGAGCATGAACAATTTGCTCTTCAATACCCAACCACTCGCAAAATTTATTGCTTTGTACTTTACATAGCGTGTGGGAGTATAAATTTCAGAAACATAATCAATATTGTGCTTTAATTGATGTTAGAGGGCAGTCTGAAAATTCAGAGATTTGCCCTGATACGAGCAGTTTTGTACAATTTTGTTGTATTATGCTCAAAGAAACAGTGCATTTAATTCTGTTTTTGAGACCGTCTACAAAACTTTTGAATCAAAATTGCCATTTTTAAGGCCTGAAGATATCACAGACTTCATCATACTTTTATTACTGTCGAGTCCGAAAGAAAAAATTGTTAATTGATTTCTTGCAAGAAAACTTGAATTCAAATTTTTTGTGATAAGCGCAGGATTCAGATTATTTAAGTTATTTAATAGGAACAGTCAAAGCCAGTTCATTGCCTGCTAAAAGTACAGATTTCCATGACAATTGACAGGCTTTTTATCATTATTATCTTTGTATGACAGGATTTCAGCCGGTATTAGAAAATAGGTTAAAGTTATTAAGTTATTATTTCAAGTTACTTCTGTCAGATATTTCTTTTCATCACCGGAAATGCATTTTAATGAATGCTGACTTTCTGAACCAAATTCAAGGTCATCAAGTAAATTACCGTATTGACATAATAAGGCAACAACAAAGCAGTTTAAGTTCGTTATTTTATGAGGGGCGAGAAACTTTAGAAGAGCACAGAAAACTACGTATGTTTTTACCCAATGTCTTGCTGAAAAAACATTTGCTACTAATAAATAAATTGAAAAAACTTCTAAGTAGTCTTCAAACTCCAACATTGCCTACAAATGGAATTGGACTTTCGAGAGTATGCAGGGTCGAGGTCCGCGACTTAATAAAATACTTTTGGATATCCAAAACAAATTGCCCAAAAGATGGAATGATGGCCCTCTTAACGGGCTCTCTCTTAAACGGCTCTATTTGGAGGGTAGCGCTTGAACTGAATTAGATAGACATATTTCGAAACATTTGCGGCAACATTTGTTTGTGAAAACCTACATGTGCACTCCAATGGATTTAATTTGTCGATCAAAATAATAACAGCCGTAAAGTTCGTCTTTCTTTAAGGGGACAGCCGGGACTTGAACCCTGGACCTCTCGCACCCGAAGCGAGAATCATACCCCTAGACCACTGTCCCTGAGTTTCAAATAGTTTAGTAGCCATGTATCGAAATCTGTTCAATTAGCCGACATAACTTTTTTGGGGAGATGTACTCACATTACCTTTTTATCACTTTCTTATGCTTCTGGTGTTTTAGGTTATCTGGCCAATTTTACCAAAAATATGTTGCTCAAGATGTAGAATTCTGTTTTGCTCTCTTTTTGCCAGGCTAGCGAAAATACCACAAGCATAAACAAGAGGCTGTCATGCTAATACTACTCCCCAAAAAAGCTTTGCGGAGAAGCTAATTGTCGGCTAATTGAACAGAATTTGGCACAGGACTACTACATGGTATCCTTTCCCCGGACATTGATCTAGGGGTATGATTCTCGTTTCGGGTGCGAGAGGTCCGGAAGCATAAAAAAAATGATAAAAAGGTAATGTGAGTACCTCTCCCCAGAAAAGTTATGTCGGCTAATTGAACAGAATTCGATACATGGCTACTAAATTATGGTAGTCACAGGGACAGTGGTCTAGGGGTACCACTGGGTATCTTGATTCTTGCTTCGGGTGCGAGATGTCCCGGCTTCAAGTCCCAGCTCTCCCCTTATTTAAACTCGGCCGTTATTTTTTTGATCGACAAACTAAATCGATTGGAGCGCAATGGTTCAAGTCCCGGCTGTTCCCGTTAATTGAACAAAAATTTAACACATAAATGTGTTTACTTAAGAAAATGCTTGCGGCGCAGAAAGTTTCGTCAAATTAAGTCTCTACTGTGGTTTTGTAGAGCTCGGAAAAACAGGCTTGGTCTACCTAAAAAAAGGTCGAACAAAACCTTTTTTTTTCTTCAAAAAACCGTCCCCTCAAGATTTCGATCTGGCTTCCAAGTTTGGAACAAAGGCTCTTTTTTCCTTCCCCCCCCCCCACCTGCAAATTTTTATAGTTCAAATTACTGCTCTCCTTGTCCGATTGTGATGAAAGTTGACATGCAGACTAATTAGGCCATGAAAAACATATTTGATCTCCAACATCAACCTTGTAAAAGCACTCCTTAGACCATAAAATTGATGCTTGTGTGAGGTGGGGGGGAGGAAAAAAATCCGGAACAAAATATCTGAAGGTAATATTTGCTTTTATAGTCTGGAGTCTGTATTTCTAATTTTTTTGTTACAGGGTTGGGGTAAAATTGCTGTTCAGGCTAGTCTTTAATAAAAAAACAGTGTAAAGAAAAACTGGGGACCTGAAACCGTTGAAAATTAAAGTTTTATTTTGAAAACGTTTTTCTGTTGTAAATAAAGTCAAGGTTTACTTGTCCAATGATGTTTTCTGTGTTGTTTTCGAGTAAAGCCTGTCTAAAATTTTGACAATTTTAACCCATTGGTAATATTTGGTAACTTTTTCAACCCAGATAACAATACCCCAGCTTATAGAAACAAACATAGTAACCAAAATAAATTACCCGGATGGATGACCAACGTCAACGTGACTCCAATGGCAATGGATACACTAGTAGTAAACATGTAATAACAAAGTGCCCTCCATCCAATCCCAGTTCCCCCCTTACTCCCCCCTACTCCCTCATTGGCCATGTCTTCTTGACCCTGGAGACACTGGATGATAGCACTCATGACACTGAACACGATAAGGGGGAGCACTAGTCCTTCCAGGCTCCGGATCATGAGTTCTCCTGGGATGCTGAGCATGTAGATGGCATAGGGCGACGGCTGTTGGGACCTGGAAGAAATATTTATGGTTTCATAGTAGGTCTGATAGTGGTATATGCAGAAACTTTTCGTCGGAGGGGGAAATTATTTAATCAATTTTGGTCAACTTTTTTTTCATAACTCTTCTGTAACACCACAGCCATATCGCTTCAGACTAATTAACCACAGTTGAAGTTTCTTTTTACGTGGTTATGTGTGTGGTTATTCAAGTTAACACTGCTCGATCTCGCAATTCCAAAAATCGAATCTCTCGCTTTTGTTGCCTGTTACCAGATTTCAGGACACGCCACTTCGGTTGATAGCGTAACGAGAACACGATAAATGTTTTGGATGCAGTTGCTGTTACGAAAGTTGTAAAAGTAAACTTTTATTTGCAGCAATTGTACAATACTATCTCCTAAATAAGTCAAACTCAAAAATCGCAACATCGTTTTTTTTACCTGACGATGAATCCGATGCCTATCCCTGCAAGCACAGCTGCGAATATGAAGCAGGGGATGGGGTCAGCCGCAGCCGCCTTCTTGATCTTGTACCAGCTCTCACTCAAACCCATCTCTACGACACAGTCACACAACTGGGGGTTATTTGAGCCAGTTCATCCCCAATTGAACTTTTTAGATCATCAAGAACAAAAAAGTATGCACTAAGTTGATGTTTTTTTAGATATGATGTCACATACATATCAACCCAGCTTCGAAAAAACTTACCGGAAGTTTTTTTTTGATATTGGCAATTTCATATCAGCTTTGAAATAATTTTTTGTTTTGACAAGTCTAAAAACCCCACCTGTTTAGTAGCTGATGATGGTCTAAGTACGTCGTCCCAATTGTATGTTGACTAAGGAAGATTTTAGTAATTATTATAAGCTAATAATAAAAAAATGTCGTTTTACCAAATTCTGCTATATTGAAAGAAAAGCGGAAACTCGATTAAATTTTTTCAACTTGATTGAAAGTTTAGCTATCATGTCAAACTCTAAACATAAATGAGTGAAAATTTTGATCGCAAAAATAGTAACTGCTTTTTACTACAACTACAAGTTATAAGAATAAAGGGGTCATACATATACAAGTTTTGTTTAAAGTTATAGTGGTTAGATGTCTTAAATTAAAACGTTATCTTTACAATCTTACCATCCTTACTTTGTGGCTTTGTGGTTCATATCACGCCTTCATATTTCAAAATATATCCAACTTTGTTAAGATTCGTTTTCGAACTGTGTCAATTTTTTTCTTAAAATAACGCAATTAAAATGAAGAATAATCTATCACGCTATATCCTTGAAACTATTGTGTGAATTAATAAAATTGCTAAGTTTATTTAGTTTCAAAATTGCTCAAATGGTTTCAAAAAAGTTTGGCACGTGTCTTTTTTCTGAGATTTTAATTTTCATATTATCTGCACCATAGGCGTTTTTGGAAGTATAGGCAGAGTTTGAGAGCATTGAAATGAAATTGAATCAGTGAGAAAAATTAGCAGAGCCAGAGCATCTGTTTGCATATTTTAATATTTAAACATTTTTTTTCGACTGATAAAGTAAACATTTATCACCTTTACGTCATTTTTTGCGCAATGATTGTTTTGTAAATAGGTTTGTAGATAAACTCCATTCCATGTTTACATTGTTGACTCAAACTTACGCGAAAAGTATAATTAAAGTATGTTTCATTGAATTTGTTCAAATGAAAAGGAAAAAATCTATTATTGATTAGGGTAGCCTAATAATGTGCAAGTAGCAAGAAATGTTTAAAGCATACTAATTTAGGGAAAAAACTCCAAAATTTTTGGAAAAGATAAGAAACTTATCAAAAAATCAAGACTTTCTTTTTCTTTTTTTTTTTCATTTTTGAATTTTTTTTTACCAGATCAGAAAACTAAATATTGTAATAACAACATCAATTTGGAATTATAGATTTTAAGAATAAATTTCATCTGAGCTCGAACAATAATTAATCAGCTGTGAGGCAAGAGCAACAGTTTCATGTCAATTTTGTTTAAAGAAACAAAGCATGAGTAATTTTATTTTATTTTTTGATTTAATTTTTGTTTTGAGAAAAAAATTGTCTATTTGTACAGATTTCAGTTTTCGATTAAAATATTTATATAACTGAAGTATTTATTTTTGGCTGTCTTATCTGGTCCGCTGGAATTTATTTGAGCTTCCTTACGAGGCCAAAATGTGCATTCTGTGCATTGTAAAGGAATTCCGCAACAGGTCAAAGTCAGATATGTCGCGGAATCCGCATTATTGCTACCTTTCTTTGATCTTCTTTGCTGTTTTAGATTCCACAAACAAATACCTAAGAGATTGTCCAGCTCAAAATTGCTCCAAAAATAGGCGAAATTGCGGAATCCGCAACCGTATTTGCGGAATCCAGAACAGTTTGTGGAATCCACAAATAAATAATAAGACATGTGTGTAGTTGTTAAATTGAGCTGTTGCTGAATCCGGAACAGTAAGCGGAATCCGCAATTTGTATGTGGAATCCGTAAATTATAAGTGGAACCCGAATTTTGATTGCGGATTCCGTTCAAATATATGTATATATGTAGTAGCGTTTAAAATTATGTCTCTCAATTACAGGTGGTCACCAGTCAGTTCAACCTCAATTACTAAATTACTACGTTGATCGGCTACCTGTTGAAATGTCAAATGTTCGATCTGAATTACTAAATTACTACGTTCGTCGGCTACCTGTTGAAATGTCTAACGTTTGATCTCAATTCCTGTCAATCACCCAGCTTCAATATTTGGATTGATAGAATCCCAAATACTGACCTAATTCGGCAAAATGTTGTTTATTGTGTTTCTAAATTCTCTCAACCCAAAGACTCTAAGCAATGAATTTTTTCTATTTTTGTTCCATATTATTTCAGTATTTGGGTTTCCATCAATTTCAAATACTGACCAGTATTTGGGATCGATTGAATTCCAAATACTGACATAGATCGGCGATATGCTGTGCGTTGTGTTTCTAAACACTCTCAACCCAATGCCTCCAATTAATGAATTTATTTGGTTTAGTGTTTCCAAAACTATGATTTCAAAAAGTGTTTGCTGGGATATATATCCCAAATAGTAATAAATGACATCCACCGATTTAGTTAACCAATGTCTTAAGACCTGTTCGTGGATTCCGCTGACAATGGTTAAATCGTTGCTTTTAAATTCCGCATTGCTAAATATAAGAATTTCAGCTCTATCTTTTAATTGCTCATATGCAAGTTCGGTAATAAACAAAATTTGGAATCCACTTACTGTTTGCGGATTCCACTTACATTTGCGGATTCCACTTACATTTTGCGGAATCCATTTACAGTTGCGGATTCCAGAACAACTAGCAACATTCGCTTGTTGCGGAATCCACGGCACTACAAATTTGCCAACAAAATTTACGTTAGAGTTATTTGTACGCGGAATCCACGAACATTTTATAAGTGGAATTCACTTACATTTTGGAACATGTTTGATGATTAGTTTCTGGAATCCAGGAACATACATCAGAAAATTGTGCGCCTTGTTATGTTTTTTTTTCTAATTTTTTTTTGATTGAAAGGAATTCAGTTTATGTTTTACCGGTTAAAGTAACATATTTGTGTCGTTTGAACAGCAAAATTAAATTATTGGTTTTCTGTAAGTAATTCACGAAATATTTATTGTCTAAAAATTTTAAATTTTATTGCACAAAATTTCGCTCAACATTTTACCCTCAAAATTTTTGATGGTGATTTTCTAGCCTTTTTATTCCAGTCTCGTTTAATGCCGACTTAGTGTTATGCTATGTAGTGTAGTTCGCAATTGGTAAAAAATGTGTTTCGCATCTGCATAGTTGATTTTTTCACGATTTTTTGGTTTTCAGAAAAATTTATGCTGATTTAAATTCAACGGATAAACTATTGGCTTCATAATTAACAGGCAGCGACTTCTTCTAAAGACTTTTATTTCAACGGGTAAAAAAGTCATCATCAACAAAAATTGTATACATCGAGTGAAATATTGTTTTGCCTGGGATCGAAACTTAGCTCTGCAAAGGAGATAAAAACTTTGGGGTCGTTAGTCAGAGCAGCTGATAGATCCCCACAAAAAAACCGACAATAAATAAAACAAAAACTGCTCGTATCAGGGCGAAGCCCTGAATGTTTTGACTGCCTTTTAGGTTCTATGAAGCAGTAAAAACATGAAAAATTTAATTGTAAAAAAAAATAAAATTAAATTAAAAAAAAATTGAGACTTTTGTAAAAACATCCCCCCACACGCCATATTAAACACAAAGCTCCTATTAACAAATCAAATATGGCATATAAACTTCCTTAAACCACTATGGAACGATTTCTCAAAAGGATTAAATCTCCGCTTACGCGTTAATAGCGCGAATTATATCGTGCGTTAATTGTCCCAAATCGGCCAAAGTGGCAATCTTTCAACCCCCTTAACTTAACGAAAAATGATCACAGGTGAAATATCTTTTCAAATTAAAGATCAGGACAACAATAGCTTTCGAATAAAATAAAAAAATTCGGTCAAAAAGCGCAAGTTGAAGAGTCGAAATTTGTCTGAAGAAAAAAAACCCACCCCAAGCACAAATATTCCGTTACTTTCGTTACGAAAGTCGGATTAATGATCATTGTTTTAGCTTGTAATATGAAAAATTTGTATCCTTAAAATTTTTTGTAAGAGAACTCACTGTCTTATATCTCTGCGTCAAAAGAGAAATTCCCTGTCTTAAAACAATCTTAGAGATTAATTTGGTAATTTGTAAGATGTTTACAAATAAAGTTCCCATACAGCGTTTTCGGTCAACCCGTACATATTTTGTTAAAAAATTTTCACCTGTTTCCAAATGTTTTACGGAATAAAGAAACGTACGCAGAATAAACTGGGTTTGCGACTTGTTTTCTATAAAAAAAAATAAGGATCGAAAATAATAAACGGCCAAATCTTTTCGGTACAACTAAATAAGAAATCTTATTGTTAATTTTCACGTGATCAATTTCGACAGATCTGATGCTGTCAGGGACTATTGTTTAAATCTTTTTTTTCGGTTTTGATGATTTTTTTTTGTTTAAGTGCTTTATTCGTTCTAATAATAGTACTTTGTGAGTTAGGACCGAGTTGGTTAACTCATAGAGTAATTTCGGATAGGGTACACCGTCTGCTCGTCACGCTATCTTATTTTCGGCCGGATAGATTCGTGCAACTTCTTAGTCTAATACCGATCCTAATCTTACTCTTATACTATCTAGTCTCAGGTTGTTTAACTAGTCTCTGCTAGGCTCAATAGATCTAGGGTATACTGGTTTATTGCGGTTGCTGAAGTGCTCGGGAGAGTCCAACTAATTTCTAAGTTAAATTCAAATCTCTCTGGTGCTGAAATTACAAGTAACTTCAGCACTTACAAATAAGTGGGTTGTTAGTTAGATGGATCATGATTGGTTAATATTAAATACTTTACATTGGTAAAATATCTAAATTATCCAATCATAAAATGTAGTCTAGATCAGGTTCCACCCATCCGGGTTTTACAGAGTTTTTTAGAATAGTTCTTCTGCAATTCGAAGGATGGATGATGGACGTTGGTGTTTGGCGAACATCATATTTCTTCTGTTTCCTCTTTGTTAAAGAAGTTCCAGGAAGCTGGAGTTAGAGACATAAGATGTTGTGTCTTCTAGTGACAACGACTAAGTCTTTGCAACAAACTCAAATCTGATTTCAGAATGGTTGGCTATGTCAGGTTTTTCTGTTCTGCGTGGAGAGTTTCTTTTGTGTCTGATCTAGTTTGGGAATGGCGTGGAGATTGTGCGTGGAGGGGATGCCTGGTTACTCGGATCTGTACGTATACTTGAACATCGAGGTGGTCATTGGTCTAGTTCAATGAAGTCCTTTTCTGCGAAGTCAAGTCGTACTCTAAATCCTTTGAGTTGTGATTGTGAGTGGCATATCGATTGTGGTTGGCCATTCTCTCTCGAGTGTAGTGGGGTCGTTTTGTCTTTAGATGTTCGTCCTTGGTGTTATATTCTGATCTATGTATTGCATAATGTAATTTACATTTTATAAAACATTTATTAGTTTAATATTTTTTAATTATGATTTTAGTTAGTTGTTTTCACAAAAGCTTTTTGTTTTAGTTCGGTTATTTTGAAGA